TATTTATTTAAATAAATATATGTAGAAAACTAGGAATAAGAAAGTTTCTAATTTTATGGTGTATTACAAATCCTGGATGTATATATATTCATCTTGCATAAACTTTTTTTGTAAAAACATGACATTTCCAGGGACAGAGATACGAGTTCGATAGACTTATACTATAAACCGAGGATTAACATCGTCGGAAACATTCACCGGAAAAACGGCGAATTCGCGACCATCTACCGACGATTATTCCGCAAAATGCACGTTTTATCTCAACTGTCATCTTCTTCGCTGTCTTTGACCTTTTTTTTTTTTAAATTCTCATCGAGGATGGAGAGCACAACTCCGGTGTCGGTCACCGAGAGCAGCTTTTGAAAACGACATGCACAGCTTGAGCGCAGTCTCTTTTTCAGCGGCGAATAACGCGTTCTATGATCTTGGATCGCAATCGCGATATCGATCTCCGTCACGCTGCCGCTTTTATTATATACCCGATGTCTTCACGTCAGGAAATTTTAATGCCATGCATTTATTTAATGCTCTGCAGCTCTTCTCTCTACATTTGACACTTAAATACGCTGAGCACGCTTGCGCGAACGCTAACTCGTTAACTACAGGCTCTTCTCCGTTCGACTGCGTTTCCCGGACCTGATAAGTCGAGCACTAAACCGTCCAGTTCAACTAACTATGACTGCCAAACCGTCGCATGCGACTGGCTTCCAAACTCAGCCCTGCGCACAGATATTTTCTCATTGCATGCATCTTACAATTGCTTTGACGACATACACATTGATTGATTATTCGTAGTAATTTTTTGTAGAGAGTTTAGTACAACTTTAACTGCAAATGTAATAGAAGCAGCACAGATACAAAGTTATATTACGCTTTGATTGTATTGATAATCTGATTTAACAATCGATTTTCCTTGTAAATCGTAAATCCACTTATAGAAGCCTAAAAAAAAATGAGAAAAATTTTTATTTCTATCTTTTTACAATTTTATGCTCGTAATAATGTACTTTGTGCAATCCTTCAATTAGATTGTTAATAACAATCGATAATATTGCATGATGGAAAGATTCTCTACAGCCAGATTATCAATCATGTAATGATGAATCAAAACATTGGAGCAAAAGCAGATTAAATCTTGTAAGCTTCACTTTAAATACAAAGTCACATTTATAAACCTTTGCATATTATTGCGAACTTGGTCCATCTTGCTTTGAACTCTTCGATTATGATATAAAATACTTGTACGCCAGCCAGTAAATCGCTTTGATATTAATGCTAACTCTCAATGGGCTGGAAACGTGCGCTGGGTAAGCTTCGGTAGCGCGAGGTAACTATGGGAAATGGGCAGCTTCGATGTTAACAAAGGTGCAAAGACTCACGTGCAGCTTGCTATCGTGAGAACTGGCAAGCGACAACTATGTCTGTCTGTCTGTCTATCTGATTTATCTGTCTCTGTCCGTATTCGCTCTATGTGGCATGCATCTCACTGTCGAGAACCGATCGTTAACCGTCCGTCTATTGCGCTGGTAAGTAATTTGCATTTTGCTCCTAACCGGTGACAATGGCTTCCGTTAACTTTAACACAAATTTTGACTATTAGAAGTAACGCCAAAGTCGGACGATCGATGGCAAACGCTTCTTGGGATATCGAGGGATCTTGAAATGCGTCGTGTGTCGGCCTGAAAAGGTTTCACTACCAAGAGTCGGGAAGAAAAGACTTCTCGAATGAATGCAGCGCAAAAGCCATATTCAAGGACTACATTTAATATACGTTTTATTAAAAGTTTGATTAAATCTTAAAAATCTTAAATTTAATTTTTTTCGAGCTTTTGAAAAAGTCAGACCATTAAATTTTTCAATTCTATATTAATATAAAAATTTTATTATCGTGAATCACTCTCGGAGGATAAAACGTGTCGCGTTTAAAGTGCAATAAAGTTACCACGGCGAAAAGTAAAGATTCCTCGAAATCTAACAGCAAGCAGCGTCATTGGTCTCCCGAAGAGAATGCTCTTCAACGAATTTATCTTATTTAGGCTTATTTCGATGGCATATGGTCAAATCGGTATGATCCAAGCCGCAGCCGGTTTCTTCGTCTACTTTGTCATTATGGCTGAAAACGGATTCCTGCCCCTATATCTGTTTGGCATCCGAAAGCAATGGGACTCTAAGGCTATCAATGATTTAACCGACAGCTACGGTCAGGAATGGGTAAGTAATCGAGGAACATCGGACGTTCTCTTCTATTAAAGCATTCTGATACTTAATTTTCAGCAAACCAATTCTTCTTTGTTAATAACTGAAAAAAAAGAAGACGTAGCATTAATAATAAAAATTTAATTTAACTTTTAATTTAATCATATTCTCAATTTCTTGACATAATCATATATTAAAAGCATCTATAGTTAATCATGTAAATTTATTTCTTGCAAAAAAAAAACAGACCTATAGAGACCGCAAAACGCTGGAATTCACCTGCCATACAGCTTTCTTCGTATCGATTGTAATTGTGCAATGGGCTGATCTGATCGTCTGTAAAACGCGCCGGAACTCGATTATTCACCAGGGAATGAGAAACTGGGCTCTGAACTTTGGCCTCGTGTTTGAGACCGCCCTCGCTGCGTTCCTAAGTTATACGCCCGGTATGGACAAGGGTCTTCGTATGTTCCCACTCAAGTATGTATTATCCATCTTTGTATCTCTCGGTCTCTAAAATTTGTACCAAGAACCAAATTTATGTTCAAACTTTGATTATAATATATTTATTCAAATCTTTTACACATTTAACGCTAAACAAATCTAATCTAAACTCGACTTTTATTTAATACACAAAGATTGCAGTTAAAACATCATCGTCGTTGAATTGTACTTACTTTCAAATCGGCAGTATATATTTGTATAATACGATGCAACACGAGAATTAATAACCCATACATGTAACGTTGCAGGTTCGTATGGTGGCTGCCAGCTCTGCCGTTCATGTTCGCCATCTTCATTTATGACGAGACGAGACGATTCTATCTCCGCCGGAATCCAGGCGGCTGGCTCGAGCAAGAAACTTACTATTAGACGCAAGGAGAATTAAATCACACGCATGCAGAGCGCGCACGCAAGAGGACGAGTGAACGGACGAGAGAGCGAGAGAAAGAGAGCGAGAAAGAGAGAGAGAATGATGATGAGAGAGAATGAGACGCATACTCACACCTGAAAGATATACACCTGAAAAAAAAGAAAAATAAGTAAATCACTCATGTTGAACAGATATATAACACTTTTCACATGGAATGTGCTACTGGGTCTGTCCGAGTCACGTGTCGAGAGAGCAATGGATGGATAACGAAGGATGATGCGCAAAAATTCGCGCTTGCTCTCACGACGAGAAAGAAGGCGCTATTTCTCCGCGACATGGAGAAGACCCTTTAGCGCTATAGATACAGCGCGAGATACAAAGAGCACGCTCGTTGTTCTGGCTTGCCGCCAACAATCGCTTGCACGCTTGCGTGCGAAGTTTCATAGTCTCAAAAAATTGATCCGGTGTTCGAGAGAGAAAAGAAGGTTTCATCGAGGGGAAATTTCACCAGTCACCATCATACAGATTGGGAAGCCGATTGGGAAGTCGCGCCTTCTGCTCTGCGTCCAACTATACAACTACGAGGCTTTCCGGTGATGATTGGTGCTGCTGCTGCTGCTGCTGCTGCTGCTGCTGCTGCTGCTGCTGCTGCTGCTGCTGCTGCTGCTGCTGCTGCTACTATCAGGTTATGGACGATATATTCTACAAGCATTGTTCGAAGATGGAACGAAGGAAAGAGAGAAAGAGATGATTGAGAAGAGTCGCTGAGTTGATGACGCTGCAATGTAACTGATGCAAGAGTGTCAGGCCTAAAGAAAAAACGTGGTAACGCGATGAAACATAGATGAAAGGAAGCCGAAATGGCAATGAGAAAGTCCGAAACGGCAGCGGGAATAGACACGCGCTCGAGAGACCGGGGTGCTAATGCGCGACAGAGAATCACGGAATCACGTGTATTCTTATGTATGCCGGATGCAAATTACTACATTCACGCGACTTCTTATACTATTAGTGGCGTATTATAGTAGACATTTTTGCGTTACCAAGAAACTTTATAATAATAGGCTTTCGTTGATCGTCGATCAATGCGCGCAAAATAATGGTACGCCAAAGATCGGCACATACACACAACACGCCCTCCATTGAGAAGAATTTTAAATCGAAGACAAGAAGATAGAGACTCGTGGAAAAAGAAAGGGGAGCAGAGAGACCGACGTGACAGAGCAAATCGAAAAAAGTGCTCAATATAACAGGAGAACCGTTAAAGAAAATTCTTAGGCATCTCGCGTGACACCGAAATATATACTTCGTACGAAAATCTAATTACTTGTTAATTGTAACGAAGGACCTGATACGACAGATATATCGGCACGGTCTATAGTTATACGTCATGATAAAATAACTAAAATAAAGGGAAGAGAGAGAAAGTTATATAAATAACTAAATGAAATAAAAAAAAAAAATAATAAAATATAATTAAATAAAGTCGCATTCGCAGTATTTATTATTATTAAATAAACGACATACACATTCGGTTTTGAGTCTTAATCCGTGTAGCTGTCAGGACGAAAACGGCAAAAACGTATCGCGTAGTTTCAGTATAGTTATGACTCTTAGCTCGAAAATAATATCACACTAACACACGTGAAAACATACGGGGAGAATGGACTGGGAATGGAAGAAAAGTGCGCGCTGATCGGGGTGGGTTCCAGCGGAGAGCGGGGTGGTTCATCCCATCGTAATCGAGCAGTAGGAGGGTGGGGGAAAGAGGTATAATTAGGAGGCGAAGATATGTATGTGGATAGTAAATGTAAAATAATTATCAACTGAATCACTACCAATTGACGAGAATATACGAACTGATAAACGATATGTTATGTGATTGCGCGGGCAGATAGTAAAGCGGTAGGTGGTCGCGGCCTGGTTGCCGGCGAACCGGAGGGAAAAGAAAATAAATCCTGCCGCATGCCATTTGAGAAGATAAGTGAATTATTATAAAACGTTATTGATTAACGACGAAAGAGAAAGAGAGAAAGAGAGATAACAAAGGTGAGGCAGGATAATGGGATAGCGAATATGAGGAATAATACACTGGATACTTTGTATTAGAGAAGGGGTGCGGTATATGTACGCAGAATATAGACAGGGAAAGAAAGAGACAGACCGGAGCAGAGAAAGCGAGTAAAAAAATGTTCTTACTTAGGTAAAAGCTAAATGAAGAATATAAAAATTCCTTCTCTTAGTTTTTCATAGATTTAAAATGCCAGCGGGACAGCTCGCTATAAATCATTGACCCCCCCGCAATGCGGAACGCTCTGTATAGCAGCGAAACGTATAGGATCTCTTGTTAGCCAGCCGGCGAGCGCGCTGTTCGTGTTACGTATGTGTGTGTATGCGTGCGCGTGTATGTGCGTTGTGCGTGTAGTATCGAAACAACACACAACGGTGACTTAAAATGCCTGCCACGCGACTTTTTTTCTTTTTTTTCGGGCCGGGACGATCCGAGACTTTTCTCATCGACGCGATCTCGCAACTGTATACACGAATATATTATATCCTCCCTCCTCTCGTCTCCCCTGGGATGGGTCTCTCTCAATCGTTGCCCGCGTTCGTTTCGGACGCGATCGCGTTGATGGTTGCGTGAGAAAGTCCGCAAGACGAAAAATATTACCCGCGCGAACAAATTTTCGTTCAACGATATCTGAATAATTATGTGAAATCGCACTTGAAAAGAGACGCGAAAGCTACAGTCATTTTTGGACAATGAAAGAATGAATAAGAGATATATTCTCTCTCTGCTTTTCAAAAATTAGAATCAATATCGCGAAATCAATATGACGAAACAGTAGGGTTTCAAAACATCGTTCTCGCAGCTATCGTTAAAAATATTGTGAAACGCGATTAATTTAAGACACACTCGTGTGGCGACTCTCGGACGATAATCATTCCATTTCCTTTGCAAACAATAATGCTTCTTTCATTTACATATCGCGTATAAGCAATCCAAAGTCCAGTATCTAACTCATCATTGCATTACGAAGGGAGAATGGAGCAATTGCGTGGCTATATTGTTACAATTATATCATGTTATATAATAACCCGCGAGATGATCGCGTTCTCGTCGATCGATTGTGGCGAACGCGGGACTCGATGAGTGAACATGCGACGCTCGTTCGGCGGCCCAGGCCCCAAAACTACCCTAAGTGTTCAATAATCGACGTGTTCTCGAGGTGCCCCGTACAACGCGAAACGTTTCTTCCTTCGCCGGTTTCTTCCGTCCGGTGCCGCCGCCTCGAGTGGACCCGAAATAAGGCTCGCAATTCCTCGACTTCTCGCGCGATTGATTTTCTCTGTTGAAAACGCACGAGAGATTGCGCGAATTGCATTCAGGATACGCGACCGATCAACTCAAAAGAATGGAAGGTCTGAGAAAGAAAAATCAAACGTTCTCAACGTTGTCGTTTAGGCTGTACTTGCATGGTCCCACGCGGAAGAGAATGACGAAGCAGAGGCTTTGCTCACGGGTGCGGGAAAAAGGCATCGGATAGAGACGAGATCACGACTCGCGCGCGAGCTCGTACATCGGGAACTGGAATTCGAGACGTTTCAAAAGTATCCATCGGCCGATCGGTGCATCACGCGAAATCTATTCTATTCGGACGCTATCCAATCATCATGGCGTTTCCAAATTCGATCGACGCCGATCAACTGAATTCTCCTCCTCTGCGTTATATAGGCGAAAAACTGTAATTTTTAGAAAGAGACAGCGATTAACTGAGCCGGGATGAATAGGGCTCGATTTTAATGTTGCGACACGGCTCTTGCGCCGTAAAAGATCGATCGCTTCTGTCACAACGAATATGCGATGATTTAAAACGTTTCGCGCGTGATTGTTACTCTCAATGGAATGTCCGTTTTTTCGGATCGGATGCGAATGGAAAAATGCAGGATAAAGAGAGAAAGAATGGAAGAGAGAGAGAGAGAGAGAAAATGAAAGAGAACGAAAGAGAGGAACATACCTGCGTGTATGTATGCGGTGGATATCTTTGAAGCTATGGAGAAGATCCGCGGCGTTGTCGACAGGGTGTTCCGTGCCTGTAGGGGGGCCGTAGGAGCCCAAAAAAAATGCTTTGCCGTCGTGCGCCGCCTCTTTACTTTAGGCTAATAATTTAAATATTATTAATAAAATATAATAGTATAATAATATAAATAAATAATATAATGATAAATAATAATAATATTAATAATAATACATGTTACAATAAGATATTATTAGATGTAATTATTATATATGGTTTAGTCTAGATCGTGTTGTTGAAGAAAAAAAACAAAGTACGTATAAGCGAACAAAAAAAAAAGATGGAAGACAGAGTAGAAAAGAGATGGAGGAGAAGGTGACGATGAAGAAGAGAAGAAGAAGGCTGCGTGTATGTATGCGGTGGATATCTTTGAAGCTATGGAGAAGATCCGCGGCGTTGTCGACAGGGTGTTCCGTGCCTGTAGGGGGGCCGTAGGAGCCCAAAAAAAATGCTTTGCCGTCGTGCGCCGCCTCTTTACTTTAGGCTAATAATTTAAATATTATTAATAAAATATAATAGTATAATAATATAAATAAATAATATAATGATAAATAATAATAATATTAATAATAATACATGTTACAATAAGATATTATTAGATGTAATTATTATATATGGTTTAGTCTAGATCGTGTTGTTGAAGAAAAAAAACAAAGTACGTATAAGCGAACAAAAAAAAAAGATGGAAGACAGAGTAGAAAAGAGATGGAGGAGAAGGTGACGATGAAGAAGAGAAGAAGAAGGAGGGAAGAAAACAAGGGTTGAAGGAAGACATGCCAGGCGGGGGAGGAAGTTTCGGTCTAAGACCACACACAATCCTTTTGCGGTGGACTGAGCGGGACGATGTCGCGCTTATACACGCTTACTCATCGCGTTCTACAAGCTTACTTTATCCATGGAGTGCAGGACAATGTTACGCTTTCGTATCTTTGCACGCGTGATTTCGGAAAAGAGAGGATCCTCCTGGATCCTCTGTATACACATACACGCGATTATCATTTCGTTTCTATCCTTTTTCGCGCGTTTCTGTGGAGAGAAAAACAAGCGGCTCTCTGTGTTCTTCGCTTCATTCCGATTCTCTCCGCGATCAAAAACATAAACTCATACATACACTCGAATAGAAAATTTAGTTTTTCGTTTTTCCCGCTTATTGGAACGCTTTCATTAGGAACGTTCATTAGGAATATCCTCGCGAAAAAAAATGACGCCGCGCGCCTGCACAGCCCGCCGCATACCGCATCGGAATCATTGAACGATTAAAAAAAAAAGTTTAAAAAAGAGAGAGAGAAAAAGTAAGGCGGAACGATGTTTTATTAATATTGTATATATATTTTAAATAATTGTGAATGACGGACAAACAGATCGCACGCGCGAACGACGGCGACCTCGACCGAGAAGCGTTCTTCTCCCGAAGAGAGAGGGCCGCTTCTTCGCCTCACGGGTCTATCCGTATATACACTTTTTTTTCTGTTTCTTATTTTTTTTCTTGCGTTATAAACGCCGCGTATACCACACATTTACACACTTTGTACACCGCGTATAGAGAAAGAAAGAAAGAAGAGAGAGAGATACGGGTTACACGCTCGGAAATGACACGTACACCGCTCCACCAGCTATATCTATATTCCGATTGACGATTGACGATTCCCTTTCGCAATTAATTAATTAATTATTATTCGATAAGTTCTGTTTTTACACACGCGACACACATGTGAAAATACATCGCAACCTCTGAGATACGAATACAACCCAAGTGTCATTACTTTTGATGTTAAATAAAAAATACATAATTAATATATAGAGCGGCTTCCCATTTTCCTTGTCTTTCCTCTTCAACCGACATCGAGTAGATTAAAAAAAAAATTGTGCGTCATTCTTGCGATTATCGTAGGAGCAAACGCGTGACGAGCTCACTATATTATTATTAATCGTTACTTTTTGTTGTATTTTTGTAATTATTATTATCGTTGCTGAGATAAAGATATATCCAAGAATAATTAGAAATTTATAATAAGTAGAGAATAATAAATAAACTGTTCAAATATTTTGCAAACAAAACTACATTACTCGAGGAAATATTTGCGACTTATAAATGTATAAACGATAAAGATTATACCACGATGTATTTAAATCTCGGTTCTTAATTTACTGTTGTGTGAAATGTTTACTTATATGATCATGTATCTCGTATGAATCGTTTATAAATCTCTCTATAAATTTGAAAATATCCAATATTAGATGTAAATTTCATTGAGTTCAAAATATGGAAACCATAGACATAGAAAATATAGAGACCGAGCATAAACTCATGGTTTTAGGCAAGTGAAGTGAAGCCATTGCGGGACGGTGCGACGAGGTAAATTGTGCTTAAATCTGATTGGCTGTTATATTGCGCAAGCGTAGTGATGCTTATATCTCTTGCGATTGTCAAACAGTCATGCGAATATATATCCATATATGTCTATGTCTATGATGGAAACATTTGTAAATTTCTCCTTGGAAAGCAAGCGCGTTTATTTTTATATATGTGTATAGATTCTTATTTACTTATATCACACATTCGAGATAATTCTTATACCAATTTTACTTGCCATTTACAATGAAACAATATTGGTACAAATAGTCCTTATTTTACAGACTGAATAGAATTTAAAGAAAATACACATTTGAATGAATTTTCTTAGATGGCGGATACAAAATTCGGTATTCGTCGATCGATTATAACCTTGTTCAACATCATCGAGCTGCCGTTAACCGTCATCTTGACATTTGTTTGAAAATTTAACGGTCAGTGATGTCCAATGGGAATATTTTGCCCATCACTAATGACACTGTGCAGCGGACCACGTGACACAAGCTTAAGAGACTCGTGCAAATAGGACGCTTTTGGATTCGATATATGTTTCTAACGTATTTCTTCGTATTACTACATTAATGACATGAAAATATTTATTTCAAGCGCTATATCGAGCACATGTATTATTAATCTATATATAGTAAATATATTAACTTTTCCAGAAACCTCCCATTTTTTTTCTTCATGATGGGTATTAACGATACCATACATTTCGATAAAATATATACGCTACTGAGTCATCTGACTTTTACGCTATTACGCATGCGTGAAACATTTTATCGCGGCTGTTCAGGTTTTCGTAGAGCGTTTAGCAATTTTTAAAAGAACAAATATGGTTTCAGCAATCGAGAAGGAAATGAAAAATATATTCTGCAAAGCGCAGTACAATAAGATTGATCATCCACAGTACATGAAGAAAATGAAGAAATTATATGAGAGAGTAAGTCCGAACATTATGTACTTTTCGAGTATTTTGGTTTTGTTCCTTTTTTTTAATAGCTTTATAGTATTTTCTGAGATTTCTAATAATTTATAACATTTCAAGATTGAATCAACTAATTATCTGTACAATGATTTAAAGTAATTTTTTCTTTTGCATATTTATTTTATTAAACTAAATCTTATGTCAATGTTTTATGATTTTTTTTAATTTTCAGACCGACTTAAATACATTTTGGAAATATTTCATCACATTTTTGAAAGTGCCTCTCACGATGGCGCAGAAACATCTGCATATTATAAACACATTAGAGTTTTGTGCCAAATTTATAGTAAGCTTCTATTCTACCAAGGAGAGCGAAACCATGGAACCAATGTCTCCATTTGTCAACAAGTTATTCAAATTTCTCTTATCGCATCACAGTGCTAAAGATAAAGCAGTGAGATTTCGCATATGTTACTTTCTAAACATACTCTTCAATTCTATGGGCGATGATGCTTTTATCGATGATAATCTATGCGATCAAATTACAGTCAGTATGATGGATCGTTTGTTGGATAAATCATTTAAAGTCAGAGCACAGGCTGTTTTTGCTCTGCACAGATTGCAAGATCCATCGGATGAGCAATGTCCTGTAATAAAAATGTATATATTTCATGTATCTAAAGATCCAAGCGCTGAAGTTCGCAAGGCGGTCCTTGCCTGTATGGGTAGAAATCAAAAGACTTTACAAGCTGTATTGACAAGAACACGAGATATCGATGATAATGTGCGCAAGATGGCATTTGAATTTATCAGTAAAATCACAGTGCGTTCCTTGACTATCGAACAAAGAGAATGTTTGTTGAAGAACGGTCTCAAAGACAGATCCGACAGTGTCAGAAAATGTGTAAGCAATGTTTTGTTGCCAACATGGCTACGATGCTACAAGGGGGAGTACTTAAATCTTGTACATGCTCTCGATGCTGGTATAGGAACAGAAACTGCCACCTTAGCTTTACAGGTACTATTCAAGTGAGTATATAAACAAGTAAATGGTAAAAAAAAAATATCAATGACAGAATTTTATATTAAATATTTTTTTGCAGACATGCTAATTCAAAAAATTTATTGGAGCAACTGCCAATAGATAAAGACACAAGACTAATTTCACTGACAAATATATCGAACGAAAATATTTTGTATTGGAAATGTGTAATAAAACATTTTCAGAGTCTGTCGTGTACGGAAGATTTAGAATTAATTATTCCGGAATTATCGGGATTTTGTACATATATACGCGAATATATGACTCTCATATCTTCCAAGTCATATGAAGTATGGGAAAAACAATGCCATAAGTTTATTCTACTACAACTCTTTGAGATATCCACAACTTATGATCTCGCAGACGAAGTGGGTAGGAAGAATCTGAACGAATTAATAATAGATACTCTAATGAGCGATCATTGCTGCGATAAAATAATCGAATGTATAGTAAACCATTTGGTAAAAGTGATACCAGATGCTAACAACATGTTGAATATTATTGCCAATGTTATTAGCGAAACTAGACTACCTTCAAACGAAAATTTAGATACTCAGCAAATTACTGTGGAGCAGCAACAGGAGAAAGACATGCAAGTGAGTATTAGAATCTAGCATTGTTAATTATATATTGTAGATGAGAAAAATGTTAGGCACACACAGTTCTGCATTGTAGACGATTTACATTAAGTTAATTACTACCCAGATCCTTTTATTTCTTTTTTTTTTTTTATTTTTTTAAATTTGATTCTAGAAAGCAAGATTAAAGGTTGATATATTAGAGCTTGAAGAGGAATTATATCAAGCGATCAAGGAAGAGAATTTTTTACAAGCTGAGAGTCTAAAAGACAAGATTAAGGTCTTAAAAGAAGAAATAAACCAGTTGTCTAAGATCCAAGAAGCTGTAATACCCGATGATATGCGTGAGGAAAAAAATGATACCACAACTATGGTGAAGTGCCTCAACATCTTGTACTTTGCGATGCAATCCATTCGCGTATTAACACCCACACTCAAGAGTTTGATGTCTCTTGTTTTAAGTAGTCTCGACGTAAGCGTATATTAAGTTATATACATTATATGAGTATATAATTATAATATTTTATATTTTTTATGCAATTACTTACTACTATTCATCACATTTTAATTTCACTTTGTTTTAGCATCCCGATGATAATGTGCATGTATTAGCGCTAAAAGTGTTAGGTACTTATTGTATACTAGACAAAGAGTTAGCTAAAAAACATGTAATGATATTTTTCTACCAATTTTCTTACGAGCACGAGAATCAAGAAATTTGGATAGTTGCTTTGAAGGCAATATTCGATCTCTTGCTTATATATGGGTTGGAATATTTTGAAAATTTGCAAATCCAGGAAGAGAATTCCATGCAGAATAGATCTGAAAAGAGTCGTTCGCTTTACACACATGAAGACAGTGTCATTTCTATAAATAAACGGATTGAAATGGAGAAGGGCCCTTGCAATTTCATCAAAATCTTAATGGGATTGTTGAACAATACGGTAAATAGCTAATATTCTTGAATTCTGCTATAATTGGGTAAAATTTACTGTAACGCAACTATATTTTGAAATTTACAGAATCAAGATATGCGTACTATTGCTACAGAAGGATTCTGTAAACTGCTGCTCAACCAACGAATTAGTAGCAGTAGTCTTATATCGCGTTTGATAATTCTGGGCTATAATAAAGCCAACATTGATGATATTTATCTTCGACAATGCTTAAGCGTTTTTTTCGAGCATTTTATCGTACGTGTACCCGAAGCACAAGAAATACTCGAAAGCTCTTATTTTCCAACACTGCGAGCTCTTTGTGATGCACCGGATGTTAGTCCGTTACGGGAAATCGATACATATCACGTTTCCAAATTTATACTGAATTTAACCAGGAGAGGATATCAGAAAACCGGCGATCAAACGTTTTACACGCACAACAATCTTGCATTTGCTATATTGGCCGAAATTCTAAATCCGGAAAGCAACATAGATAAGGATACTCTCATTAAATCTTTAACGAATTTATGTATTCAAATAGAGGATGCTCCATCGAAACAAAATTTGCAAGAAGCCATCGAGAATGTTACGAAAATGGTATATAAACTCTTTATATTTTTGTTTTAAATCTTTAATACAATTGATAAAATAATATATATTGATTGTAATTCGATATATTTGATAATATAGGTGAAGGATTCTGATAAACGGTTGCTGAAATATATTCAGCAGTTCAAACAAAAATTAGAAAGCCCTGAAGCAATGGAGGTGGCGGTAGAATGTGAAACTGACAGCGAAGACTAAATATTGTTTAAAATTTTGTATATCTGTATAAATAATATATATTTTTATATTTGCTCCATTCCTGGATTTCCGAAAAGGTTAAAAATAAAATACAAAAAGCACATTATTAGATGTTCTTAAAATGCAATTTATCTATATATTATACTCTTGTGTTTATATGAAATATTTGCTTTTTTTTTTCCTTGTTAGATGTCACTATTTCAACCACTGATTTCTATACATAAGTGGATAAGGATAAACTATAGATATGGGCTGGTAATATGCATATATATATATATATAAACACAATGTATGTGTACATGTGACACTTGGAGAGAGAAAGAAAAGTACTACAAATGTATGTTTCTCTGTCTAACTCCCTTCAGACTCTAGACATCGCATCTAATACAGAAACTATAGCCAATCCATATTTATATAATGATATTTACAAAATCTAGAATTGGCAGCTGCAGCTACTGGAATGACATCTTTTAGTAATAATGGCGACCTTTAGATGGCGTATAAGTTTGTTTATAGTTACTTGAAAGCAGTTTATGTCTTTTGCTACAAAAATATGAGAACAGACTTTCTTAACGATAATTGAAGTTGAGAAGAAATCCTTTACAGACATGGATAAGTTGGCGAAACCGCAAATAATTTGCCACATTGAGAAATCGGTGGACTATTCGCTGTTTGATGTCAAATGGATACCATGCAGCGCCAAGTTCGTGGTTATGGGTTCTCGACCTCGTGGTACCGGTATTATACAGATTTACGAGTTGTCCAGCGGTGAGTTGAAGCTCGTGAAGGATATAGAGAGGTCTAATCAGATGAAATGTGGAACATTCAAGGCTTCCAATCTTCGGGATAGACACTTAGCTACCGGTGATTTTAAGGTTTCTTTTACTCAGATATTTGTTAATGTTCTAATATTTACATTTAATAGTATCTTATTTGATAAAGTTTTACAGAATATGCTAAATATGATCCGCCCATCTTATAGGGTAAACTAAATATCTACAATTTAGAGGATCCCTCGATACCAGTTTACACTGCTAACGCTCACACACAGATTATAAATGCCATTGATGGAGTAGCAGGTGCCAGCGTAGGATGCGGTGCACCCGAATTGGTAACTGGATCCAGAGATGGAAGTGTTAAAGTATGGGATCCCAGGCAGAAGAGTCGACCGGTCGCTATTATGGAGCCTAAGGAAGGAGAAAATCGACGAGATTGCTGGTCGGTCGCGTTTGGCAATTCTTACAATTCTGAGGAGAGAGTAGTGGCTGCGGGATATGATAATGGTGATGTCAAAATATTTGATCTGAGAGCAATGACGGTGAAATGGGAAAGTAATCTGAAAAATGGAGTTTGCAGTCTCGAGTTTGACAGGAAAGACATCCCCATGAACAAGCTGGTTGCCACTACGCTAGAATCAAAATTTTATCTCTTTGACTTGAAGACTCAGCATCCCAAGAAGGGCTTTCCATATCTTGTTGAAAAGGTCCATTATTTAGAGAGAATGAAAATTTATACTCTTTAATATATATAAGTTTGTAACCTGTGTGACTGCATGATTTTAGGCTCATAAGTCGACGGTATGGCTGGTTAAGCATTTACCACAAAATCGTGAAATATTCGCAACTTGTGGCGGCGGAGGAACAATCTGTCTTTGGAAATAGTAAGTGTATATATATATATATAGTTTATATCTGTTTTATAAAATTGCAATGTTAAGGGCATTATATTTCTGCGAGAATATATGTGCTTTAAAAACTAATATTTATTGTTTCTTAGTAATTATCCAGAGAAAAGAAAAACCACGGATGCCGACGGGATCGAGCAGGGTGTCGTGGGCAACGTTAGTTTGCTGCAAAATACTATGCTTTCATCGCAACCCGTTAGTTCTTTGGATTGGAGTCCGGATAAACAAGGACTTGGCGTTTGCACATCGTTTGATCAATGCTTACGCGTTATCATCACTACGAAACTAAACACATATTGATTAAACAGCGGAAAATGCTTGTAAATATAAGTCTGTACTATAGCAGGAGAAAAGTTCCTTCAAGTTCCATTTTGTATGCTTAAGGTAGCTATTAATACAATTCTTGAATTGCCTCATATGCGACTTTATCGAATACATGTAATACAGTCAGATAATAAGCAAGAAAACTGAGAAGAATAAGAAAATGTGCATCAAACTCGTTATTTATCAGCGGCATCTCGATACTATTATAGTTTGGATTCGAAATATCGATTTCTTGTTTACGGGCGCGTTACGCAATGGCCAGCAGATGAGAGTGAATTATATATTATTGGACTAATCTATTTAGAATCGGACTCTTCCTAAGCATCGGCCATTTTACGCGCGTAGTCGCGAGCGTTACGCAATATTGCGCGTGCCAACCTCCGCCATTTGAGGCGTATTCGACCTGCATGTTGTCGCGTCTACCTCGCGCTGCGTTGTGCGAGGAAGCAGCATTGCAGCTGCGCGCGTACACACAAGGTCAGAAATACCTCGATTGTAATTATATAAATTAATTATCATCGTCACGTTCATATGTCTTTGCCGGGATATGGTTGTCGCCGTTCGATCCACTCATTTTATTTAATTCTCTTTAAATTTTTTAGAGTTTTACAACACATTAATATTTAAGATTAAACTTTGACGCAGATTCTAGAGGGAACAAGACAAAGAGATAAGATGTAGTAGAAAGTGCAGCTTAAATTTAAAGATTTTTTCTTTTGTGTCTCGTGTCACGCATTCCAAAAAAATCTAACTATATATAATAACTCTGTTTCATCTTGAACGCAGAGAAATGTTTGACCGAAACAATTGTGTCTATTCTGCTTTTTCTCCGATTTAAAGATTTTTCATTTTTATTTAGATTTTACTAATATTTTTCCATTTTCTTGTACTTGACAAAATATATTATTCCTTTATGCTTTTTCCTTTATTGCAATTCATTTGTTATATGCATATCCTATTTCTAAAATGACTTGTATGTTCTGAAATGATTTTATCTTAGAATATATAATACAATTCCCCGTTTATGTGTATTTAACATATCTATATCAATCGAAGCAAAGTGAATCGGCTATCCTGAAAGTGTACCAAGTGTCAGTTGGCTTATTACATAGCAGTGTGTACATATTCACGGGAACATATATACACACGTCGACAGGACAGGTAGAGAAGTGTGCAATACCTGATTCCTATTTTCGTGTCTCGATGGCGCACTTGGTGATGCATTCCGTGACGATTTGGTCAACATCCAAGAATTGGCCGCGCAGTTGCATATAGTTGCTCGTGTTATAGTTACAATTGTCACGATTAAACCTTGAATAGAAAGATTGATCCCTTATAGTCCCTTAGAATCCCCCATTTTCCATTAAATGTTCATCACAATGTGCTTTCAATGGGAAATTCATTATTTCCATTTATTAAGATTGATGGTCGTTTAAAAGATAATCTTTCTTAATTTGAAGATTAATCCATTAGACAAGAGTTTTATTATTACTGCTTTATATTTGGCAACTTTTAAATTGATGATAACTATTAACGTGGATCGGTAGATGGGAAGGAATTTCAATATAAAAAAATATTTTTATTTCTTTTTTAAGTTTTTCAATAATCCTAGATCAGTAATCGTAGTACCAGTGACTCAGTAACATTATCTGGTCATAACATTATTCTAACTTAATTAGAATATAAAATCATCGAGTTTGTAGCGAGATTTTCAAAATTGAAAATAAAAGAAAATTTCATCATCGTAAATTAATGCGAAGAATATAATTGATATCACTTAGTCTATTGTACATTGTCTATTGTATATAAAATGCAAAACGCAACTTTCTTCGGTGGTTGATATATTCGTTGAAGAAACTTTCGAATGGCAGAAGAAATCGACAGCCCGCGCGATCGGTAGTATTAAAATGCGAGTTTCTTCATTAACAGGTACATGTGTTGATCTATCTCGAAGCCGTGCAGATTGTTCGCGTCACCCTGTAGCCTCATGAGCAGACCTCCAAAAGATACATAGGCTGATCTGCAAATAAAGAGGAAGAAAACAATCAGTTGTAAGTTTGCATCGTCTTTTATAATATGCAGGTTTTTTTTTTAATAACAGCATTATACGCGCGGCTCGGCTCAGTGGATTTTTCTTTCGTTGCTCGTAAAAATAAGTGAAGCATGCGTGATTCTCTCATATTCAATAACAAAGAAAAAAAAAAACGTCCGTATTGAAATCGTTAACGACGTTCCTCCTAGCAGGTCTGCGATCGTCATAATTGCAGTGCCGATAGCGGTCGTGTATATAGATCGGCCACACAACCAGCTAACCACACTGCCAACACGCCGATCGCTAAAGGAAGTTGTTCCTTTAAACGATTAGGAAAGATGTATCTGCTTTGCTGAAGATCTTCAGATACTCCGCTCTTCAAGCTCGATTGACGATCTCTTCTTCTCTCTTAATCGTTGTTTTCGTGACATATAATATACAGCGGAAGGCAAACTTGTGGCAAAAAATTGTTTCTGATGTAACAATCGTGTAAAGATATATTCTCAAGAGTACTGTTAATCAGATAAATTGCAAATGACTAGTCCGGTTTGTGATGCATAAACCCGTGATTAAAGGATACGATATAATATAGATATAAAAATTACTGTATATCGATGTAATAATGAAAAACTGTCATTTATCTTAATTGAAAACATTGAAATTATGGACACTCCTCCACAGTAAAGTAGCGTTTCTTCCATCACTTGACAATCAGCTGATTACTTATGTAATTACTATAACGATTGGAACTAATGGATAGAAAGACAACCAACGTCATTCTATGACTCGAAAAAGTACGCGCAAGTATAAAAATATCCATCGTTTTAGCTCCAGTGTCATCATGGATGACGTAGTTTTTTCGCCCCAATTGGCGTTAAAGATATCGCGCAATCATCCATCGTCGATGACGTTTAGAAAATGCATTCTGCGAAACACGCTTACCTCGATCGCGAAAGCGCGTCCGTGAGATTCAAATTTCGCGTGACTTACGAGATAGAGAGGGAGAGGGAGAGGGAGAGGGAGAGGGAGAGGAAAAGGCGCGAATACCGACAAGAATATAGCCGCGGCGTACGTGTGATGTTCAGAGGTTTCCCTATCGATTGACCTTGCCTTCGACGAATCTCTACCTCTCTAGGAGGCACTCCGCTGCTCTTATAAGAGTCAATTATTTTTAACCAAGTATTTCGAGCTTCTGCTTGTGTGCGCACTGGTTCCATTTACCCCTCCTCCCATCTCATTTCCCCCGACGCACTTTGCGCTTTTAATCATCTTGCACATGTCGTACATCTTTATATATTCTACACACATAATATAACTAACGCTAAATATAAATATACCACTATATAAATGCATAGCAAAACGCGTCATCTAAATTAGATTCGAGTTTTAATCCTGGAATTTAAGTCTTGTAATCTACCTATAAAAATCAAGAATCTGATCTCTATTAATGTCTCAAAAAATTACTGAAATATAAATTTTATCGAAGGTGGCATCTCCAATTTGTTTTCCAATTCTGATATTTAAAGTAAAAACTGATTTTTTTTATTTTATTTTTATCCATAATAAAAGTATATATCTTGTTCTAGGGGTAACGTTTTCCATTAAATCTTTTTCTTGGGACAATTGAAAGGATTATTCTTTATCCGATGGGCAATTTGAAAGTTTGTACTTTTTTTGTATCGATGGATCTATCAAATATGATTGATAACATAGATAAGACAAGTAAAAACAAAGGAAATGAAAAAACAAGTTCTTTCGATTGAAATTGTTAAATTCCAATTGCAGAAAAAAGCAACTTGACTCTGATTAATGACTTTATTCTTAATAATAATTTCTTGTTTATTAATTAGTAGAAATGCTAAGAACGGGAATAAAATATTCAATGTAACCGTTGTATAATTTCAATGCTGTTAACATCTGCTTCCATCATTTGAATGCTCTAAAGAGGAAATGCTTTTTAAAACTATGTACAATTTCTACTTTTTTATATCTATATGTATATGGTATATATAAAAATTAATCTTTATAATAAAGGCGCTGGTAAAATTAAATGAAGAACGCATTAGATGATTTTTATTGTCATTCGTGATACAATATAGCCTATGATCCTATGTGTAAGCGATGTGCGTGTATGTACGTGCGTATGTGTGCGTATAAATTGTTACGTGAAGCATGAACCAAGTGTAGGCGCTGCAATACACGCACTCCTCCGTTAACAAATCCCTCGTCATGGACGATCGAATGCCATTACGCATCTATTCATAGGGAGTCATCATCGTCGATGATATCGCACAAAAAAAAAATGTATTTGTCGACGCAACATGCGTTCGGCCGCTTGAGTGCACCCTCTCCTCTCCCCCGCCCCTCCTGTGAGATGCATATTTTACAATTGAAAGAAAAGAGGGGAGGCAGAGAGCGATGTTGACAATACTTTCGCAGCAGAATTTATTTCTCGCAACACACACACACACACACATACATACATTGTGTAGCAAACAAGTTCCTCGTGTGTGTAGAATTACTTTCTACAGAATCGCCGACAAATGTTAATGGACGATTTCACACTAATTGCGGGAACTCGCGTTGCTCTTATGCCGATCGTTCGAAACCCAAATTTACGCAACGTAAATCAAACATTATTATCGCAAATTATTGCTCTAGACCAAGTTGATAATCCCAAACGAGAATTTCCGACGCAATTATTCCAATTAGAACTTTAGACATATAGGTGGATTGTAATTTAATTAATATTTGTTACTAAAGGAACGTTATTAATAATATAGTCCTTGTAATATTACGGCATTTTGCTGTTATTTGTCGTGTAATTATAATTGTAATAACATAATCGTAACTTTAGTGAAAGAAAAAGAGTGAGGATACTTTCTTTCTCGTTCTTTTTTTATGACGAGTTCGAGAGAGAGAGAGAGAGAGAGAGAGAGAGAGAGAGAGAAAATTCGAAATAACCGCAGGTGTTTGTTTCATTATATATCAATGTACGTGTTATTTTTTCATCAAAGGGACTATAAATGTCTTAGCAGAGATGAAAAATATAATTAGATTGTAAAACATCTTTGTACGTCGCCTTGAAAATTTTTACGTCAATTTCTGATTATCAAAAATTTTCAAAAGTATTCTTTTTATTAGAAGTCAAAAAAGCTTTAGTAAATTCCTGTTAAACAATATTTTGATTGTAATCGAAGTCACATAAAACTGTCAAAAAAATTTTCCACCTCTGTTTTAAACTCTCTGCGGGATCCGGGAATGCTATTCTAATACGCGACAGTTCTCAAGTATTTTATACATATAAAAAGAAATTTTAATATACAATTTCTTTTTCCTGTAAAGATTATATAGTGTATAGTATACAAAGCATACGGTGTAGTTTAAAGCTTCGTAAGCTTCGTAAGCTTCGTGTCTTTCTCAGTATTATCCCCTTATGATAAGGATAGCGCAGGATATAGATGTCGATTTTTCCTTCCATTTACACTTATCTACGGCTCTAATAAAGTTGGCGTCGCGTTACTCGATCGTCGATGACGGCGACAGAAGAGATGTCGTACCAGATAGTGCATTTACAGTATTCAGGGCCCGTGTAAACGCGCATCTGGCACGAGCCCCAACTGCCCTGTAATTTCGTATTGGCTCGCTTCCGCTCGGCTCACTCTCATGTTCTTTTACTCGTTAATCTTTGCAGTCTCCATCCCCCTTTTTTTCCCCTTTCCTTCCTCCTACCTAATCTGCTTTTCAACTTTCCTTTTCCTCGCACGAAATTGCAATAAAGTTGCAATGTCCATATTTTAAATCACCATGTCAATAAAGAAGTATCTCATCGAACAATGATATTTGACTCACCGCTGATCGCAATTCATTGCGCGCGTGTTAAAAATGTAAACACTTATGTAACGATGCGTTCAAGTCACGCGATTATTATTCGATGTGTAATTAAGTTCTCGCTCCACGAGGCACAATCAAAAAGAAAAAAAAAAAAAATAATAATAATTTAACAAGGCGCTCGTCGAATTCGCCTCAAACTTATTTAACACGCGAAAGAAACGACGACGAGACAAGGGTTTCTCGGGCGTGCCGCGTATCTTTCAGTGGGATGTCAGCTGATGCTATTTTGCCTCTCGAAGCGCGAAATGAGAAGAGGACGACGTTGCTAATAATAGCAGTCACTGTCCCCGGTGCCACGACGC